CACACACACACACACACACACACACACACACACACACACACACACACTTACATACATACATACGCACGGACATTTTGTACAGAAGTGATTTTTCGACGTTACATTCTATAAACAGTAAACACTTTGCCAAAGATACCTAAAAAAAATTTTTTTACGAAAACAAAGCTTCCTCTATGAAGGAGCAAAACTACAAATTTTTAAAGAAATTTATCTCTTTCCTTTATTCTTATTCAAAGTTTATGAAAAATAAAATATTAAATAAACAATGTTTATCAAAATGATTATAAAACCGTCAACTACAATGTAGACAGATATTTTGTAAATTTTTTCAGATTTTTTAAAATACTTTAAAATAGGAAAAATAACGTCGAACGCGACAGGATCGTGTGTGAATTAGGAAAGTCCCTCCCAAAAAACGTATACAGGTGGTGGGTTAAAAATATATTTTTCAATAAAAAATTTGTTAAAAATGTGTTACTTTTAAAGATGCGTTCTTATTATTCCACTAATGTGTGTATTGAATGGCTAACAAACGGATATCTATCTATTTGTGTTGGGAGAAGACTTTGAATGAGCAATAAGTTCCCGCCCTTCTAGAGGGCAGCTCCCGGTTGGCGGCGCGACTCGGCGCGCCACGTGTGCGTGCGGGCATCAGTGGTGCTTACAAGAGTCTCGATCACCGTCGTGTTCAGACGTGTTGGTTACGGTTTAAGTTACAGACTGTGATATACTTATATATAATAAAGACAGTATTCAGAGTGTACAAAGACCAAGATTGTTGTGTTCCCTGCTCATCTCACCACATTTCAAGTCGTCCCTGATTATATTTCCAATAGGTTATGGGCCCAGGGCACGATTCCCCTGCGTGAGGAACATAGCACGAAAGTGTATATACGAAGTGTGTGAGACGCCGGCGAAGGGCATAGAAAGAGATAGAAGCATCTAGAAAATTAGAGGGTAAGTAAATAATATTCCTCGTTGCTGACGAGCAAAACGAGAGAATTCTCAGTTAATAAGAATGTTCGTTCGATAAATACTGTTACAAGGAGATAGATGTTTTTGCCATTTTTCTCGAGAAATAGAAATAGAGGTAATAATGGTAATAAGAGAATTAGAGAATAGATGTGTAAAATGTAATAAAGAAGTAGAGAATGATGAAGGAAAAAGAGATAGAAAAATGCCGCTTGGTAGCAAGTCGGCGATGTGCGCGTGCAAGTCCGATCGTGAACGGCGAGAGTCATTTCTTTTGGCGCGCGGAAGTTCGATCGTAGACGGCGAGAGTCATTGTTTTTGGCGCGCAGAACTTGTTGCTGGGCGCGCACAAACACATATTCGATTTCGACTAATAACATGGCATCGATGCTAGATGGCTAGATTACGATACATGTAAATGTATGCGTATGCTAGATGGCTAGATTGCGATACATGTATATGTATGTGTATGCGTATGTATAAAAACTCTATATGACTCTATATGAGTTTATTTTTTTTGAAATCGATATGTATCGGGTCGGTAATTGAGCATGACTTGCTGTGCGGTGTAGCTTGATTACTGTTTAGGGAAGCCGCGTAAATTTGTAAGGGCCCCGTGCGTGTGCGTGATCAACCCGAGCTCCCATAGATCTTTTCAGCAGTGCTGGGGATCGCAACGGACAGTGGTGTGCGCGTGCGGATAGCCCTGCAGAGGCGCGTGGTTTTCTCGCTTTGGGGTTATTGTGAATTGCAGTGCGTTCTATATAGCCTCATAAGCATTAAATTTTTATCGTTGAAAGAGATCTAGTGATAGAAATTGTAAATTATTATTTGTCAATACGAATGTTGGTTTATCTTGTCAAAAGAGGAATGCTAATGTTCAATTGATATTTAAATCCCGATATAGATGGAAGAAGAAGGCCAAGATGCGCTGGTCGAATACGACAGCGATAGCAGCTTTATCATGGTAATAGATAGAGAAGCAAAAAATAAAAACGAGGAGACAGTAAGAAAAGATAGAGGTAAGAGAGTATTTTTTTGAAAATAAAGTAGTCCAGAAGAATAATATATATATGCATTCAGAAAAAATAAAAATAGTAATTTCAAAATTCCGTATAGAAGCAAAAGATAAAAAGGAGATGGAAAGAAGAGGTGCAATCCCGAAAAAGAACTTGCCTAAAGTCAGAGAGAATATAGATGTGACCAAAGCATGGGAAGAGAACCGTCCAGTACTGTCAATTGGAACCAAAATATTATATGAAAAGCAAGAAAAATTGGTCGCGAAAATGGACAATTCGATGCAAATGCTGGATAAAGTAATGACGAAGGCCACCGAGATGATGGAGAATATGGTGGAAGTCTCCCGTTTAAACTTAGAGAAAGAAAAAGTTAAACTTAGACGTTTAGAGGTAAGCAATAAAGATACCCAAAATTCAGTAGAAAACAGTAAACAAACGGTTAGAGAACTAGAGGTAGAGTCTAAAAAGAGAAAATTAAATGAAATAACAGTCTGTTCAACCGAAAAAGATAGGAGTTTAGAGACAATAAAAAGAGCTATAGAATTGGAATTGAACAGTCAAAGGTTGCATATTAGAAGAGAATATAAGCTGACGCAAAAATCCAACTTTGATCTTTGGATGGATTATTTAAAATCTGAGTTAATGAATAACGAGTTGTTAGACGTAATAGATTCAAACATTGAAAGTCCAGAAAATCTCTCCGAACTAAAAGTTGCTAAGAGAAAAAGTCTAGTTAGAGATATAATAATCAATCATTTAGATGAAAACTATCATATAAGGATTCTACATGAAAAAGATCCGAAAGAAATTTTGCAGAAATTGAGAGGATATAAAAAGAGTGAAGTAAACGTTACTCATGCATCGGTACGAGCTAAACTCTATCAAATTAAAATGAGAAAAGACGAAAAAGTAAGTGATTTTTGTGAACGCTTCGATTCAATAATTAGAGAATATGAATCATGTGAAGATGCGGTACCCCTCGCAGAACAAGAGATTAGATCTGCACTTTATCAGACTGTGTCAATTAATGTACCAGAGCTGAGGAATGTAGATTTAATTAGAAGACAAACTAATCTTAAAGAAATGAACATAGATGAAATAAAGTCTTTTATGATGCAGTTAGAAGCAGAGACTAAAAACGAGAATAGAGAAAAATTAGAGAAACCCGAAGTCAGGGTACAGAGGGCTGCTGCTGAAGAGAACATGAAACAAGTGAAATGCTACAGATGCAACCGAATGGGTCATATGGCGAAGGACTGTCCACTAATAGAATTTGGTGCCTGGTTTTGTTACTACTGCCAGGAGATACGAGGTCACAAGGGTGATAATTGTCCGAGTGCCAAAGCCCAGGCGAACAGAGCTAGAGGAAAAAGGTATTTAAATAAAACCGTTAATAAAAACATAAAGAAAAAGGGTAGATTTGTGTAAAAAGGCACAAAAAGAGTAGATAACAAAAGGAAAATAACCAAGATACAACCAGCTGAGAAACCTATATCAACGAAAACAGCAAATGAAGGAGAATCAGAAGAAGGTAAATAATGCATGGTTAAATTAATAGAAGATAGAGATAGTTCAAAAGAGGTAATCAATTTTACTGCAGATTCGGGTGCTACGGATCATATTGTGAATAAGAATTTTATTCCGTCAAAGTTTGAAAAATGTAAAGATAGAGTTATTAAATGCGCGAATAAAAATGAGCTTGCAAACATTTCAATAGATGGTAAAGGAGATCTTACGCTAATAACGAATAAAAAAGAAAAGAGAGTCATTAAATTAACAAATGTAATTGCAGCAAAGAAAGTATTCAAAAATTTACTATATCTAAGAAAGTTGGCTGATGCAGGGTTCAGTATTTATTTAGATGATAAAGTGTTTAAAGTTTACAATAAACTGACAAATAAAATAGTTTTTAAAGAAATTTACAGATGTAGAGCAAAAATTGTTCCACATAGTGAGTTTCCTGAACAATTGCAAGCAAACATTCAGACCAATGAATTATCAATTTCGGAGAGAGAGTTAGATGAGAGAGATAATGTTGGCTCTGCGATTGGGAGGGAGAATGAAGGAGAGCTCACAAATGTGAACAAAAACGAAAATATAGAACACAACAATGCTGAACTCGAGCAAGTCATTAAGTTGGAGGATATACAGACAATAGAGAATATAGAAGAAATGTGTGAAAGCTCAGTAATTGAAAAAGTAAAGAAACTAGAGAAAATAAATGAGGCGATGTTAAGGCATGTTAGATTAGGTCATGCATCGTTAAACTATCTAAAACAATTACAAAAACTAGAAAAGAGATTAGAGAATGTAAAGTTTGATAACTCCATATTAGAGTGTGAAGTATGTATAATGGCAAAAATGGCAAAACTGCCGTTTAAAGAAAACAGAAATAGAGCACAGAGACCACTACAGGTAATACATACGGACATCATGGGTCCAATAAAACCTACATCCTATCCAGGACAAAAGAGATTTATAATCATTTTTATAGATGACTATTCTAGATTAGCAAAAGCCTACTCTCTGAAGAGAAAAGATGAATCGGGAGAGGCTCTAGAGAAATATCTTATATCCGCCAGAAATCTACTAGGAAAAGAAGAAAAGCTATGCTATGCAAAGTCAGATCAAGACAAGGAATTTACGGGAGGTGCTTTTAAAGAAGTATTAAAAAGAGAAAAGATAAAAGCCATATTTGCATCACCGTACACTCCAGAACACAATGAAGTTGCAGAAAGGTTCAACAGAACGTTGAAAGAGAAAGTAAGAACATATATGCTCGACTCGGGATTACTAAAGAGTATGTGGGAGTTGGCAGTTGACGCTGCTGTGCATGCGTACAACAGATCTCCACATAAGACTTTAGAGTACGAGATCCCGTTGAAGAAGTTTTCATCAGAAACAAGTTGTCATTTTAAACAAATAAAGAAATTCGGATGCATTGGATATGCAAGCCCTAAGAGCACAGTTGACGGAAAGTCGACGGTAAGTCGACTTTTATAAGTCGACTTCTAGTCGGCTTCTAAAAATGGCAGAAAGTCGACTGAAAGTCGACTTCTAAATAGGCGACTTCTAAAAATGGCGGAAAGTCGACTTCTAGTCGACTTCTAAAAATGGCAAAAAGTCGACTTCTAGTCGACTTCTAAAAATGGCGAAAAGTCGACTAAAAGTCGACTTCTAGTCGACTTTTAAAAATGGCGGAATGTCGACTAAAAATCGACTTCTAAATAGTCGACTTATAAAAGTCAATTTTCCGTCGAATTTTATAAGTCGACTTCTAGTCGACTTCTAGTCGACTTCTAAAAATGGCGGAAAGTCGACTAAAAGTCGACTTCTAAATAGTCGACTATAAAAAGACGGAAAGCAGTCAAGCGGCGCGTCATCAATATGGCGGCGAATCTCGAGGAGGCTGGAGGAGCAAAATTAATGTTTACGCGAGTGCAAGGAATACATGCCGCGAGACAGGACACGATAAGACGTCGAAAAGCGCCGCGCTATCAACCACCGCTACGAAACGTCGTCGTCGTCGTCATCATTGTCTTCCCGTTGACTTCCTCGATTAGATCAGAATACTGGAATTTGACTGTATGTATGTTGCAATATGTTTGAGACGGTTGTCTACATTGTCTACAACAAGAATTGTTACAGAATGCCGTTACCAACCGACATGGAAGCGAAATTGCTGCGCCAGATAGTTCTTGCAGGTATGGCGGATCTAAAAAAGGATCAGGATAAGGCCAAGTGAAAATATGCTTTAGAGGTTAGGTATGGTGTGTTATTAATTATCATCGATAATTAAGACCTATTGAATGCGACCTCTCTATTCTGAACCATCTTTCAGAACACCATCAGAAATGGAGGAACCTGGTTCATGCATTCTTCGTGCGTTCAACGGAAAACCAGTTCGGAATAGGTGGTTTATAAAAAGGTGTACGAAACGAATAAGATGTATATGCGAGGTGTCACGGCGATAGAACCCGAATGATTGCCGAAATTCGCTTCCACGCTATGCCATCTTAGTGAATCATTGGTTGATCCACCGCCAAGGTATTTTTATCACAATTGTTGCTTTATAATGTTTTCCCTATTTATTTATAAAGATATTAATCTTCATTATGATCGAATATTATTCTCATTTATAGATATAATCAAGGAACCGGGAAGATCATTTGCTGCGTGTTTGGTACATTTGGAAAGGCCGGATGGGGACTACCATCGATGGATATAGAGCATCTGTGGACGGTGTAAAGTGGTTCGCGTATTTCTTCTTGGAGGGTCAAGTGTACCCTAAGCTGAAACGATTTGTTCCGTCGTTGCTGACGACACCTGGGAGCATCACCAAGTCATGGGCCAGGTAAATCGTTATTTTATCTCCTTTCGATTTCACGTTGATTCATCGAATAGATTACATCAATTCAATACGATTTTTTCAGGTTGATACCACGCACTCAAGCAATAGTACAAACGTTGTAGTCGCAGGGAGTCGTGTCCAAATACAAACTGCTAGAAATCTGGGGTTTGGATAAAAAATGTGAGATTTTAATTTATAAAATAATATTTAGATATTATCATCGAGTAGACTTCTATACAATACTAGACCGCTGACAGGCATCTCGACCGTGATGCTTGCCGCCATGTTGATTTTAGTTAAGATATGCTATACTACAGATTCTATACAAGTAGTTTTATACAAGATTTCTATACAATAGTCTGGCATATACAGAATGTCCAAAAGAAAGGGTTTAATACTACAGGAGTAGTGGTTCGATTTCGGCATTCAAGTAGCTACACGTTGAAGGCATGACTTACAAATTTATTGATAACATGTACCAATATTTAACACAAAAACATTCGCCTGCTTCGTTATGTACTGTAATAACGAATGCAGATAAACGCACATCATGAGCAACTGAACACCCGATAGTGACTTATTGTTAATTCAATATGGCCGCACCCTTCACTAACACTTGCACCTCGCACTCGCATCAGCTTTTCGGCAGTGCGTCCATAGATGTTAATGGTCTAGTATAAAAGTCTGTGGATATTATATATTTATAATTTTAGTTCTGTTGACAGCTTACAAGAAGTGGCTGCCGGAATCCGCGCACGCAGAAGTGACACAGATATGACGGCACACAGTGGCCACCTTTGTAATTAAGAATAAAACATTAGGATTGTAATTATACAGTTTTTTAGATAATTAAATTATTTTATATATGAAAAAAAATCGAAATGCATCAGTTTTAGCCTTCCAGCAAAGGGTCGATTGTGTATCTTGAAATAATGAGGTAAAAATTACAAAAATGAGAAAATTCATTAGCGTATCTACGATTTTATTTATCAGAATCTAATAAAATCTGTTAACTTTTGTCATTTTCACCTCATTTCAAGATACACAACCGACCTCCAGACGTACGCGGCGGCGGTTTATTTTATCGACTTTAAAAGTTGGCGGGAAGTCGACTTTCCGTCATGACGGGAAGTCGACTTGAAGTCGACTTTTTGCTCTTAGGGAAGAGTACCAAAGCCTACGTCAAAATTCGACAAGACAGCTATTGGTGTGTTGGTAGGATATACTGACACTGGATATATACTATATACTCTGGTATCCAAGCACGAGAAAATTTATAGAGTCATGACAACAGAGCAGCAAGAAACTGCACTAAGAAGGATAGAAGTCACAAACTTAAAATGTTTGATGACGACTTAGAGGAAATAAAGAAAAACTTAGAAGAAAAAGAAGAAACTGGAAACAGAAAACATATGGATGACACTCATGGAGATTTTATCAAGCAGTGTGTTGATTAAGGGAAGGTAAAAGTCGAATGGATTAAGATCAAAGAGAATTTGGCAGACATTATGACAAAACCTTTACCTCTAGAAGCATTTGTGTATCTGAGAGATAAAATAATGAATATAGAGTTTAAACAAAGTTAGAGATTAATTTTAGTCGATAACTAATTCTTGTTATGTTTCAGATAAAGAGGAAACTTAGAGAGGACCCGTGGATCGCTCGCACAAAGGGAGGGAGTGTTGGGAGAAGACTTTGAACGAGCAATAAGTTCCCGCCCTTCTAGAGGGCAGCTCCCGGTTGGCGGCGCGACTCGGCGCGCCACGCGTGCGTGCGGGCATCAGTGATGCTCACAAGAGCCTCGATCACCGTCGTGTTCAGACGTGTTGGTTACGGTTTAAGTTACAGAGTGTGATATACTTATATATAATAAAGACAGTATTCAGAGTGTACAAAGACTAAGATTGTTGTGTTCCCTGCTCATCTCACCACATTTCAAGTCGTCCCTGATTATATTTCCAATAATTTGCAATTTAGAAAATTTTCATTTTTTAAATATATTGTTATTATAAAATACAAATTTTTAAAGTCTGAAGTTTTCTTTATAAAGCAATGATAAATAACTTTATTAATTTTGAATAATCTTATTTTCTTTGTTAAATATCTAATAATTGTTATGTCATATAAGATTAGTGTAAAATTCGAACTTTCTTACTTATTTATTCATTAATTTTAATATTTATTTATTTATTTATTTATTTACTAATTTATTTATTCGTGTTTTTAAAACACGTGTAACCCGACACAAGAGTAGTACACAATACACGTTTTTGTACACGTAAATGCTAATTACACGTGTAATTCGTGTACCCGTGTACACGTAAAATAAGGAACTTTAGTTTCTATAGAATTATAAATCCTTTTCCAGGATTAAAGTATAGCTACAGTAAAGAGCAAAAATGAGTTCCTTTTTCAATGTAGATGTCTAGATGAGCGCACCATTTCTACCTTCCAGCCAATTGTGTTCCTAGAATCGCTTATTTAGACCGAAAAGAAACCCACTTTTGCTTCTCGGTGTACATACGTCTCTATTTTTTTCTTTCTCAACGTAAAGTTGACTCGTCTCTTCTCCGTTCGCGTGAATACTTATTTAATCCTGGAAAAGGATTTATAAAACCAATAAAAAATGGCATGTATGCGAAAATTAGATTCTGTCGATAACTCCAACATCGCCTTAAAAAGAAAAAAAATATAGACCATGACGAAAATATAAACCGTGACAGACTTGCGTAAAACTGCATTTTTTCTTTTTCTTAATTCCAAAAATCAGTCTCTTGAAACTAATCTACGTCGTTTTAACTCTTTCTTCTTTAAGTTTCACATTTTTAACTAATGTGATAACAATCTAACACAGAGGCGCATAACGAAAGATGTGGATTAAAACGGGTAGATATTTAATTAAAACTTTAAGTAATATTTGCTTTGGGATTGACAGTAGCCTATCGAAATCTCAGTACGCAACTTTTTAAGTAGCAATTCTTATATACAATAATATATAAAATTTATTTTGTACAATTGTATGCGCAGTTAACAATAAGCATGCTTCGCTTATATGCTGACAAACTCTAAAACAAAAAATGATAGAATGTTCCGCTAATATAGATTAACAATAATAAGAGGTTTTATTTCGACTAAATTGGCTATTATATAAAGTTGACACAAACGTTAGGACGTTTTGATCCTTGGTTCGGATCCTTATCAAGCAGTCTACAAAGCAACTTGGTCTAAGGTCATAATTAAAGTCATATTTTAAAATTAACGGAGCAAAGTTAAAAGCAATGTAATACCTACTAATAAAAAAAAACCATTACTTTCACATTAAGGGGATGCTGGAGCCGTCTGTATAACCGATAAAATTACCATTTTCTATGTTATTGACTATATCTGTCCTTGTATAGACAAAGATATAGACAAGGATAGCACTTTGCTACTTTGCACGCACACATACGCATGATGCACATCGACATTATACTTTTATATTACGCTTCCAAATCTTGATTTGGAGGGTTTATCGATGTTTTTCTTGTTATGCAAATCGGGGGAACTTGTTTTCGCGTTTGTACCAATGGTATATCTCTTATATGTAATACATCTTGTGCTGACAGCTCGCCGCAACTCGAGACGCCATATTGGGATAAAAGTAGGATAAGGAAATCTGTACTTCCGTAATTTTTTTTCGTTTTTTATATAAAATCGGAGTTCCCCCGAATCATTAATGTATGTACTGTAATTCTGGAGAAGGATTTTTAATTCTGTCAAATTAATACAACGCTACGTGACGACAAAAAATGCCGGTAAAAAGACGGCTCTAGCATTCCCTTAAACCCATGAAGATTTTTGCCGAAAAAATCATAAGTGTAAGATGTAGAATGTCGATGGTAGTGACTTGAATTGATGCAGTATAAATGCGCAAATTAAAACCATTATGCCGTTGTAAGAAGTAGCACATGTGTTGTCGAGGCGAGCATGTTCATGCGAAAACTCTAAAACGTTAAAAAACCGTACATTTTTTTGTGCAAATATAAATTATAACATTGAAATATATAATACTATGTAAAACTAACTATTGAACATCGCCCACATTGAAAAAAAATTAATTACATAAATAGATCGGGCAAATAGAAATTTTATTGCTCTTATTCAAATAAATATCAAGTTTTGCAACTTATATTACGATTATTCGTGCATTGACAGAATTCGTGCATTGAATTTACCCTTTTGCGAACGAATAACTTACTCAATTACTCCGATATTTATAATTTAAAAAAATAAAAAAAAAAAACTAAAGACAATCGCCAGGATAATTTTTCAGAATACTCGTACATTTTGGATTGCATCCTGACGTTTTAGATTATAAATAAGGCGTCGAATAAAGTTCAAAAAGAACCTTCATCTTTCACATGCCATGTACAAAGTTGAAAGACATCTAGATTCCTGTTTAGTTTCACGTCGGTCGAAGGGAAAATAAACTATGAGCGCAGCAAGTTAGCAAATAGAACTTTATTAACTCATATATAAATGCTAATAATTACATACAAACTTATAAATTATAATTTACATAGGGCGCGTTAAATAAATAGAATGTACAAAGTCTCACACTCATAAATTATATAAATTAAGCAAGAAGGTGCGTGCGTGCGTACATGTAAACAAATATTGGCTTTTAAGTATATAAAAAAAATTCTCTCAAATTTTCTACACTTCGCTACCTCATTCATTTCTCTTTGTAAATGAAACTAATCCATATTTACACATTGCGATATTACAAATATTCGAATAATAAAAATCCTCTAGTGCTTCTCAGTATCTTTCTTTATATATCATCAATATTATTATTATTTAAATTATAATCATTATTTTACACGACCTATTATGTATAATATCTTTAATATTATTAATGTATGTAAGTCGACAAGTTTAATGAACTGTATAAGTAATTCAATCGTTTGTCGACGTACAGAGAGGAATGTGTATAATGAAAATAATTCCTTCAAAGAGAATCAAACAATTTTAATGTAATTTATACAAATTTTAACATTTGCGTATTTCACCAATCAGTTAATGCATCGTGACGAGTTAAAGAGGATTGGCTTCTAGATTCTATTCCATACATTTTTAGAATTAAAAAAATAATGAACACAACATATTAGTATTATCACAAGACTATGTAATATATCAGGATGAAAATCTTTTATTATAAAATATTTATTTAGAAACGTTGACGAATTATACGTTTGATTTCATACTATTTATATTTTTCTCATTTAAAACACAAATTTATATCAAAGTCCAGTCCTACTTTCAATTCACAGGGTCTGAAATCTGAGATTTGGATAATCGAGATAATCGAAGTAAAACCCGTAAATATTTATCTGCCTATGTCCTGACAAGAGGTAGCGTTTATGTATACCATGTAATAATAGTTTCTCTCTTTCTCTCTCCCCCTTCCCTCCCTCCCTCCCTTTCCCCTCTCTCTATATCTATTTCTCTCTGACAATGAGAGGATTATCGCTATATCATCACATGTCTAATTAATCTACCAACTCTAAAATGGACTTTTCAATATTGCAAATAACAAAATTAAATCGATAGTTATTGACGCAAGACATTATAACAACAAATTATTTGAAGCATTTTGAATTATTAAAAATATTTTAGATATCTTGAGCACACTTACAATTAGTACGATTAATTAAAGCTTTGGTGGTACTTGTTACAAGGAAAAACGTTTGTTTACAGTGCAACAATGCGAAAATAAATATAAATGCAGGCAACACGTACTTTCATAAATTTTCTCTCACAGTTCCGTTGTTTAAAATGCGTTACGTCCGCCGAGTATCATTTTGCTCTTTACGGCTAAAAACTTTTCTCGAAGTTTCTTAAAAATTAAATTTTTATTGCATACAATGAGAGAATAGCCTTCCAAGATATCACAACCAAAAGAATATTATTGCACACAACAATATCTTTCCTGTGCAATACTGTTATTATACGCATAATAATTAAAGGAAAATTATAAGGCAAGCACAGTTCGTAGGCTCAGACTCGCAATCACCTCAACGATCATTGCGTGAATTATACTCACCCGGTATGCTCAGCTGATTGACCAAGCATCGCTGTGTTATGGATTATCTAAAAGAAAGCGTCAATTTGTATTATTAGTCATGCTATGCAGCGTATTATACAGGTAAGAAAAGTATTCAAAGCCTAAAAGAAATAATCTCGAGATTGTACGATTAGTTTCCAAATACGCACCAACATTAGATTCAAACGAAGAAAATTTCTGTTCAGATATCCATCATATCCATATTTTGCCAATACAAAATTTCTTACGTTTGATTGCATTTGATAGCAATGAGAAATGATAGATAGAATTGTAGGACCGTACCACGTATATTTTTAGTAACAATGAAAAAATTTCAATTGTTTTTATATAATTAAATTCTATATATATAAAATTAAAAAATAATGCTATATTTTATTATATTCTACATTAGAAATAAACATTCAAACTTTGCAAATATTAAAATTCGGTGATTTCAGCGATGTCATATACATTACATATATGTACACGTATACATTTGGAACTCTCTCTCTTTCTCTCTTCTCTCCTCTCATTCCCCATACACATTACAATTTAATGTAAATAAATACATTTGCAATGCGATAATTATTATAAACATGCGTTGGAACTGATAAAGAAGA